CTTAAACACACCTCCAAATTGTGCAGAACTATTTAGAGCAGAAGCAGGCAGCTGGTATTCTATGGGTAATGGAGTGGCCAGCGCAGTCACCAGATCTGAACCCCATTGAGCTGCTGTGGGAGGAGCTTGACCGTATGGGACGCAAGAAGCGCCCATCCCACCAATCCAACTAGTGGGAGCTGCTTCTGGAAGCGTGGGGGCAATTTCTCCAGATTACCTCAACAAATTAAGAGCTAGAATGCCAAAAGTCTGCAATGCTGGAATTGCTGCAAATGGAGGATTCTTTGACGAAAGCAAAGTTTGATGTAAAAAAAATCTTATTTAAAAAACAAATCATTATTTCTAACCATGTCAATGTCTTGACTCTATTTTCTATTCATTTCACAACGTACGGTGGTGAATAAGTGTGACTTATTGCAGGCTTGGTGGGCCCAGAGACTGCATAGGGTAACACTTTTTAAAGAAGTGTTACAACCCACCCCAACTCTGTCAGCCATGTTTAGCTAGCTGTAGTAGCATAGCGGTTTGAAATTAGCACGAGGAAATGAATCACATTTTGCCTGAGAAATTACACTTTCATTTAATGTAAGTAATATGGTTTTATCTGCAACAGTATAAGTACTAAACAAAATATAGTCATGGTCAAAAAATTTACTTTCTTACCTCAAATTCCATTTTTTCTCCTTAGTATCTGCATGCACCCGTTTCCAGCCTTGACAATCACAAAATGGGATTGGGGAGGAAGCGGGTAAACACTGAAATGATCATGTGACTCCTATCTTATCCCTGATTGCTGGAACTGGTGGTGTTACAAGTCTCCCCATGTTACAACCATACCTCTCCTATATATATATTAGGAACTGGAACCGCTCACACGGAGCCTGCTTCTTCTGGTGGTTTATTCCTGTTAAAATGGAGTTTTTTCTCTCCACTGTCGCTAAAAGCATCCTTAGTGTACGGGATTACCTTTGAGTCAATGAGTTGATGCAATCAACTGGTTTTCTTTAGATAGTAAACTTTGAATCAATCTGACTGGATGATCTGGTTAAATTGAATCTGTAAAGTGCATTGAGATGACGCTATATAAATAAACTGAATTGAAAGAACGATATACCGGGCAGCTAATAATCCTGATATATCGCCATATTGATTATTCTTCCACACCCCTACCTGTGATAATATGGTGCTTTAAAATAAGGCAGAAGGAAAGAGGAACAGTAGTATTCGGACATGTCCGCTTCTAGCAGCTCAAAACTGAGAAAGGTTTCCTCTGAGAAAAGCAGATTTAGTAAACGGTTATTGATCTCTTAAGATTCTAGCCTCAGTCTCTGACGATGCTATCAGAAAAGAAGGCTCCATTTTCTTCTACAAAAGCACCCAATGTAGTTCAATATTTATGCTTTATCCTTTAACTCAATATTTCATAAGCTGCATAACATGTTTTGCCCGTCTTGTTCGCTTTATGCTGCTAGCAGAGATAACAGGGCAACAATGGAGCGCATTAAAGTATAACTAAACAAGATCTTCTTGCCCTCAGGGTTCAGGATTGCAGGAGCTGAAGTTATCTTTGCAGTCAGCTCACCAGGCATTGCTCAAAACACATTTACCACGGCCCAAAAGAGCAATCATTTACCCAGAAAAATATGAGCAGCAGCGAGGAGAGGCATGTGACTCGGAAATCAGGCAGGTCAGCCAGTGGCCGCAAGATGCAAGCGGTCAGTCAGCTGACTGCTGGAAAGGAGGAGGACAGAAGGAGCGAAAAGATAAAAACAAGCAGCGTATCATCAAGGAGCTTTTATTGTACCCGGTACAGAAACTCAGCAGAGTAAGAAACAGACGGGGGCGGGGGCTGAAATCTGTACATAAGCAGATCCTCCGTGCGTCCGGGCTGGATGGGATCTTCTTCGCTTTGGCCTCTGTGGGACGGAACGCGTCCTCGTTTGCTGTCCAACCCGGAGCCATCGTCGTCATCATCTTTATTACAGGCTGCATTTTATAGCTTAACACATTCAAATCAAAACCAATGCAGCTTTATAGCAAAAATAGATACTTTATAGAAGTTTTTCTTTGCTTGAAATTCAAAAACAAAAAGACCCCCCCCCCCCAAAAAAAAAGAATATCACAAACTGTGTCCAAATCCAGTAGGGATATGTCAGCGGACTGATTCCAGCATGCAGAGGCCCCCCTCCCCCCACGCCGTCTGTGTGAGCATGCAGCATCCTGATGCCACCGCCGTACCGGGGCATCAGAGGAGCGAGAACACTGCAGAGGATACGCCAAGCACCCAGATACAACAGAAAATTAGGACATGATGTGGGGAACAGGGAGCGCCATGTGCTCTCCTCAGTGAGGGGGGGGGGCTGCACAGAAAATCTCTTACACAGAATCAAACAACATTTACATAACAGAGCAGCCGAACCAACAAGCCCAGAGTCGGCTGTGAAAAAGGATGTTCTATCTACAGAGACGAATCGAAGCCCTTTCACTGATCGGATGCAAACGTGGGAACCCAGAAAGGCAACTCTGGACAGAATAGTGCTGAATCGGAAACGGCTTGTGATTGGTTGCTTCTAAGTTAAACAAGATTGTCACAAAGTCGGACAAAACGACGACTCCCGCCGTCTCGTACAAAGAGCGTCTGTCAGTCCGCTCAAAGCCGCTGGGCTTTGGTCTCCGTGGCAACGACGGCCCTCGCCTTGCTTTGGAGAGTGCTGGAGCTACAGAGTCCAGTTCGCCCTGGTTTCAGGAACCTCTCCTGGCGGCGAAAGGAGCCGCGGCGGGTTCTTCCCTCGTTTACGAGCTTCCGGAGGTTTCAGAGGGATTTTCCAGGGAGCAGAAGAGGGAACCCGGAAGGAGCAGAGGTCACGTTCCCCTCCGGGCAGCTCTGCGGTTCCAGCTCTGAAATTTCAGAGCGGGCGCGAGGAGAAACTTTGGGAGTGTTTGCATGTACGTGTGTGTTGTGCGTCAGGACACATGCAGCCTGTCAGTAGCCGTAGTTGTCAGGGAAGGCCAGAGCGGGGGCACACTGCTCCCCCGCCTCCAGCAGGTAGGAGGCGGCGTCGTCGTAGTGGGTGAGGGGGACGGTGTCGTCCTCCAGGCCCTGCAGGCCGTCCAGGTCCACCTTCAGGTTGGGCCTTTGGTTGTCGGGGAACGCCATGGAGAACAAAGCCTCGGGATCACAGACGAACTTGTAGACGTACCGCTCACCCGCCACCTGAGGAGGAACAGACAGAACCGAGTTATAGCTACGCTGCTATAGGCTTAGCCTGCTGGAGGACATGGTCACCCCTTTTCATCATTCCATCCCTATTCTCCCATTCTGCAGGATTTGTTAGTTCAGTCTCTAATGTTACTCTCTGTGCTTTTTCTCATCATAGGTGCTTCATCTGGGGAGTGGAGGCCTACTGGTTAGGGCATAGGGCTTGGATTCCTCAGGTTGTGAGTTTGAAACCAACTCCCACAGATTCCCACTCTGGGTCTCAGAGTAGGACCCTTAACCCCCGTTTGGGGCGCTGCACAGTGCACTGCTTCCCAGAGGAGATGGGTTAAATGCAGAGGGTTAATTTCTCCATGGTGGGATCAATAAAGTTCAATTTATTTATTATCTGGTCTGTTCCTGTTTGGCTGAGCCTCCATCCTGGAGAGAAATAACAGCTTTGGTGCTTCCAGCAACACCTTAGATAAATTAACTGAACTGAAAACCATCAGAGAAAGATGACGGGAAGATTAACTAACTTCTGGACGCCCAGGTGCAAAGAGAGAAAAAAGAAACATGCCTTTACCTTCTGCATGATGCCCTTCTCGTAGTAATACCGCAGCGAGCGGCTCAGCTTGTCGTAGTTCATGGCCGGCCTGTTTTTCTGGATTCCCCAGCGACGAGCCACCTGCCAAACGAGACGCACACGGAAACCGCGCTCACTTTAGATTCACAGCTACGACAGGAGAAGACGGCAGCAGGAAGCGGGCGCCTACCTCCTCGGGCTCGATGAGTTTGAACTCCATGCCCCGCCCGGTCCAGGCGATGAAGTGTCCGTTTGCCGGGTCGTCCAGCAAGGTGACCAGGAACTGCCAAAGCTGCAGGGAGCCGCGGCGCTGGTAAGGAGGGCCCTCCCGGTAAGCAGAAGGCTCCTGTTTTATTTTCCCTGGAGACGGAGGAGGAACGGAGGGGAGACGAGGAGAAAGGGACAGAAGGCACAAAAAGACAAGTGTGAATCAGAAATGTTCTGCATCTCGGCCACAGTTTGGTGAGACATTCCTACCAGATGGAGACAAAATGCACGAGCTGTTCATTATGCATAATCAACATGTTCCTAACAAACTAACTTCTCCATTTCAACATCTAAAAACCCATTAAATGGGAGTTTACTCAAGGAGCCAGACCCGCGTATAGGAAGATGGAGCAAACTGCCGTCTGGTTTTTATCTTTTTATAAATGAAACGTGTGAGAAACCGATAGCAGATTTGCTGTAAAAGTTGTTTCTCTCCATTTTCTGCATAGTTGCAAACATTCCCATCTGTCCGTTTTACAGTGTCCCAACTGGGGGGGGGGGGCGATATATCGAATAAATTCGATGCATCTCGAGTTTTCCGACGCACGATCGTTAAAATGGCTCCATCGCAGCCATTGAATTCAAATTCTAATTGACGACATTCAGCCGTCTGAATCTATTTCGGCAAGTTTTATTTTTCCCCACACACTTTGAATGCATCATAAACCCCTCCTCCAAACAGGATTATTTTCTCGCATGCTACAGCTACAGCAGGTGTTTCAGCTAAGCAACATACGGTGTCCTTAGTAATACGAACGCTCATGCATGATCGTTATTAGTGGTTATCAGTCCCATTGGATGGATTCAGATTGTTCCAGTGGGCTTTTATCACTGAGTGAATCCTGATCCTAAAGTCATTCCTTTCCCCGCATGGACTTTTTAATCTATTGATGTGTAATCTGAAAATAATTTCAGTAGTTCTTCATGTACTATAAAAATAAAATGATCGGCATGTCACTTAAACTAAAAACAAATTAAATATGTAATTCTCTGTGAAAAAAATGCCGATCATTCTTTAATAAGATCCTCATCTAACGGACATGCAATGTTTATTTTTAAACCTAATGCGTGAATGATTTTTTTGTTCTTTTATGCGCAAACGATGACAAAAACCTGACTAAATCGCGAAATAAAACAGCGAAATTGGCTTTAAGCAGAGCGGAGACAGAGGAAACTCTATGTAATCTGTATTACTAAGGGTATGCTGGGCTGACAGAGTGTTTTTTTTACCGAGGACGTCAAACAAAAGGCACTCATTTGTAAGACCAAAAAGCAATTGCTGCAAAACAGCACAAAATTATTCCACCAGCTAAAATTCATCCACTGCAAAATGAAGAATGTTTTAAACTCTGCATGTCGGCGTCTCGCCGAACACCAATTAAAACGTTCAATAAAGCAGCGGTGAAGCCGATGGCGTTTGAAAAAATAATCCCATAAGAGAGAAACAGGAAGAGATGCTGTTGAAATGTTGTTTAGATGCTCTAATACCTGTGATGTGATGCTCAGAGGTTTTGTTTTTAAATTTATAACTTTTTTTGCTCCTTTAAAATTCCCAGCAGGTAAAGATCAATGCTAATAATCTGGAAATGCTCTGATAATGCTCTAATTTTTGGACGGTATTTCCTCTTTTGTTTTTGTAATTTTACATTAATTTTCCTTTTTTTATTTTGCATTTTATTAAGTACTGCATGTTTTTGCTGCGTTTCCTGTTTGGTTGCTGGGATCTTGTTAAAGTTTTAATTCTGACACCCAAAGACATCATTGGCAGAATTATTAGTGAGAAGCTTTGAGCTGGTTAAATAAAATTTGAAACCAAAAGTTTGAATGACTATGATCATATGG